CCAAAACTGGATCAAAATCAATTCAAAAGGTGATATTCGTAATCACCGTGAAATTTTGCATCGAATGATATAGTTTTAAGTGAAAAATAAGAACTTGCAATTCTTTTGAATTAGCGGCGCCTTATATCTGTTTATGATGCAACTATAATGGATATTCGATGTTTCTGTCCCCCATCATACTATGGTTCAAACTGTGAATATTATAGTGATCGTATGACAATAATTACACATTTAAATTTAATGAATTTGAATGTCATTAAAATATTAGCAACATTTCATTTTAATAAGGAATTAGTTGATTTATATGAATTTTATGTTCTACCCTATTCCTTAAGGGAAATAAATTTCATTTTCTCTGTTCGAGATCATCATATAATGTTAAACATAAGAAAAGACGTTATTATAATCGAGCAGATATTATTGAACATCATCCATATTTTGTACGTTTTGAAGCCTATGAGAATCTTCAATTGATTGGTTTATGGCAATATCCAGTCTATTTTGATTATTTACCATCGTTTCGTTTGTCAAAAATTCTAAAACTTCCTTCATTTTTCGTAAATCAAACTGATCCATGTTCCAGTCAGTCATGCCAATCAAATTCTGTTTGTCAACGAATCCTTAACACCAATCATTCATATGCCTGTTTGTGCGAAAATGGTTTATATGGACAAAATTGTCAAAAATATGACAGACAGTGTTCAACATTTTGTTCGCCAACATCGATCTGTAAACCAACATCTCAAAATAGACTAACATTTTGTGTTTGTCCATTTGGTCGATTTGGAGCATCAAGCAACTTGAAATATGATCACTGTAATCAATCATCTTGTTCAAACAATGGTACATGTCATTTACGTATGACCCTTTGTAACGGATGTCCGCTATTCTCCTCAAGAATTCTATCCGCCTCATCCTCTTCTCTCATATTCATTTATCTCATCACAGCCTACGTCATCCGTTAGAAAACGATTCTACGTCATACTCCTTCCGCCCCTTCCTCCTTCTCATTCTCTTCTATCATATTCATTTACCTCATCACCGATGATGTTACCCGTAAGAGAACGATTCTACAGCATACTCCTCATAATCATATATCGCATCACTGGTTACGTCATCCGTTAGAGAACGACATCATATTTCTCCTATTCATTTCTCTTATTCATTTCACTTCCTACACCCACACATTAGAAATGGGTATATATATGTGGTGTGTTATGGAGAAAGAAAGTAAGAAAGAGGAAGGACAAAGTGGTCCTTGTTTTTATTTTGTGTTTTTGTGTTTGGTTTTATCTGCATGCGTTGTACTACGTATTATTCAAGAATAAAATAAACTTTGAAGACAAGTTTTGGTCACACCCTTCTCGTATAAAACTTTATCGTTGTCGTTGAGAAAAGCAATTTTATGGTGATCGATGTCAACATGAGAAAGTTTCTATCCATGTTCGACTTAAAACAATAACCCCACCATTAGCTTCTATAGTACAATATTATGACATAAACAATTTAACATTGAATTTGATTATAAAATCTCAGCAGGTTTATCCAGCATTGCCAAAAGAATTTGAATTTAATCATACACAAGTCATAGCACCAGTATTAGGAATTTTGAAATTATATACACAAAACTATCAAACGGAAGATGTAATCTATTCTATCATATGTATTCAACAAAATCAAAAAGTTATAAATATTACAACAGAGTTAATAACATGTCCAAATGCTCTTACGTTACTCCGAAAAATCGAAGGTAAGACGATAATCGGTATTTTTAATAGCAGTTTCGTTTCACTTAAATCTTAGTGTTCTTCGGTTGTGAGATTGTAGCTGCGAATGCATTCACAAACACTTTTAAGATTAACTGTGCGGTGTTTCTGTAGGTCTTGATGGAGATTCAGTGGAGTCGTCCCAGTTCCAGATTCGAATTTCAGTTGGGTATTTTATGGAAGTGAAACTAAAAGAAATATTTCCAAAATAGAATAATACAAAAGGTAGTTTTCTGGTATTCTAAACCTCAAACTTTCAAGAGATTACCGTTTAGCGGGAAATGTCTCTTCACAAGCTCTGTTTTAAATGTTTGTTGCAAAGTGTAACCGTTCCAAAATTCTCAGAACGGTAACGGCACCATTCTAAAATTTTTAACTGGAACGGAACTGCCATCCCCTCCCTGTCGTTTCTGTCTCTTTTATAGTCCCAAATCCACACCTTTCATGGTACTGGCGTAGCACGAGTCTCATGAACACTCTAAACTACAGGTCAAGAAACCTTAGAAATAAATGGAAACATAAGTTACCGGTTGCGCTGTATCTGGTGGCCATGTTACTTCCGGAACAGAATTCAAAAATCTGTTGGAAACCTATGATGAATGAAATAACTCAGTTTTAGCTGTTTTCACCGAAAATTAAGATATTCATAAATCACTCAAACTTAAACCCAGTTCTTTCATAGGTACGTGCCCTAAAGTGTCCTCTACTGAACACCGAAAAATGCACGTCTCTATCTTTTTTCAGTTAAATATTCAAAAACAACTTCGACTACTCTATGGTGAAATGGAAAGTAATCTTGTTCAAAAAAACTCAAAATGGCACCGCCGAAAAGCTGTTTTTAGGACGACCGTTCTAAACGTCTTACCAGAACGAAACAGAACGGCCGTTTGCCGTTACCGGTTACATCTCTTTTTTTGTTGCCTGAGATAAAAGAACTTTCAAAATCTATGAAAGCGAGTAAAAGGAAAGCGTTCTCATCTGATCAATTATGTCTTCGGAGAATTTTAATTATAGATTGAAAGATGGAACTTTACAAGGACTGCAAGCGTTCACTACATTTTCTGCGGAGAATTTCAAGACTCAAAAAAGACTGGCTTTTGCAGTTGTAGGACTAAAAAGCTTTTTAGGAAAATACTGAGATCGCCATATTTCCGAAGAAATTCGGGTTAATAGCTTTATTAATCTTGTTTCTATTTAAGTTCTTAACTTAACTTAACTTCTTAAGTTCTTACATCAAATGATGGCATCCCGGCTCTATTTAATTACCATCATATTTGTCGCCAAAATCTTTCCTCCAGTGACTTGTTATCCTTTCACGATAAGGACATTTGCATCTGTGAATGGGATCGTTATCGTGCTGAATGTTTCGGTTATAACCATTATCTGGATCGATGTTCTCATTGTCTATCAAATGGTCAATGTTTACAAGGCGATTTGCAAGACAGAAATGATTATCTCTGTTTATGTCCACAATGTCACTTTGGTCGTGTTTGTCAGTTTAGTACAGAATTATTAACTTTTACATTAGATTCATTAATTATTAAAGACACATTCAACGTCCAGTTAGTTTATGTTTGTTTAACTTCGGTTCTATTTCTTTTGGGTTTATTCAACAATCTCTATAGTTATATTACGTTTCAGCGATCTGTTCCACGTAAATTTGGTGTTGGTAATTATCTGTTAATTGTTACTGTTCTCAATCAATGTTCACTCCTGTTTTTGCTTTTAGGTGTTTTGAAAAGTATTGAACACTCGATTTTTTATAGACATTTTACGAAAAGTCCTGAGATTGACCATTCCACTCAAGGGGGTCCTAATGTGGTCTTATCTCAAGAACGGCTCAATCCATTGATCTGAAATTTTCTGTGGACATATATCACAGTGAGCTCTACTTATCATAAAAGTTTTGTCTCAAAATATTGAGCCATTGAGATTTTATAAATCATCAAATAATATATTTAATAATAGCTCAACTCAGGTATGTCATAGAAAGTTGGTTCAAACGCCAATCGACAGAGAATTGAAGGCTGAACAAATGTAGAGGTTTGGCGAATTTCAGATACCATCATCATGGTTTTCTAGAGGATTTATAGAAAACGCCTTTTCTAATTTCACGATGAGGTGTCAAAATGTCGAAAAAAAAATGTCGACAATGAAAACGTCGACAGTTAAAATGTCGATTGGAAAACGTCGACAAGTAGAATGTCGACATAGCAAAACGTCGACGTAGTAAAAAGTCGACTTAAAAAATGTCGACAAGCAAGATGTCGACAGATACAAATGTCGACAAGCAAGATGTCGACAGATACAAATGTCGACAAGCAAAATATCGCTACAAAAAAAATTCAAAATTTTTATCATGATACAGAATAATGATGTGGCATACCGTCGTGTATTCTTCTCTTTCTATACTTTCTTTGTATATGTTGGCCTGGATATAGAATACCTCTTGTTTCTTTCTTTCTCAGCTGTATAAATTCTCGCCTTTTTATCATAATCGTCATTCGTGTGCACATCATTGTACAAGTACAGTCGACACATCATTTTATTTCGTCTATTCAGTGTGATTAGCTTCTCGTGTATCTTTCATGTCCACCACTCCTGTTATCAGCTTCTCGACCAGCAACAAGCGCAAGTCGATTTTGATTAGTGATGGATTCATCTATCAATTGAACAAAACCCGACCGAAGATCAAGTATTGGCGTTGTACGAATCGGATGTGCTCGGCTTATATCCATACCAATCCAAATGATCAGTACATGAGAAAATCAGGTGATCATAATTCTCACTTACCGATACCTGAAAATATCGAAGTGACTGTCTTTAAAGAGAAGGTGAAAGAACGGAACGTTCAAGAGACGACAGCAATCGGAAAAATCTACGATAATGAGTTGGCTGCGGCTACTCTAAGTGAAGCTGCACTTGGTCTGGTTCCTAGAATTTCACTTATTTCAATTGTATTAGAATTTCACTTACTAATCATAAATATAATTTCAATTGCAGTTCATTTTTTTTTAAATTCGACATTTTTGCCAGTCGACGTTTTGCATGTCGACATTCTGCACTGTCGACATTTTGCACTATCGATATTTTGCTCCGTCGACATTTTGCCTTTCGACATTTTCCTGTCGACATTCTGCTACTTTACCAATTTCACTTGTGTTTTAATTTTTTTCAATTTTAAACTTCATTATTGAACTTTTTAAGGTTTTGAGAATTAGAAATCAACTTAAATAGCATAGTTCAACATTCAAAATGCTTCTAACATTTATATGAACATATTTCAATCCATTGTAAAAAAAGCTCGGTGACGTTAGAAAAGTTTGACGAAGAGTTGCGTTCTTTCGTCTACCAGCTGATCCTGTATTATAAAAATGGTGCGATATTTTGTCTCTCAATATTAATGATCTTAGTGTGGCAAAATAAGAGCGTGTATGTAGTCAACACTTCTCTACTAGTGATATCAGTTGCATAAAAGGAAACACATTATTGGCTAAAGGTGCTCTACCCATTCAGGTGCGTTTTGTTTTGCCAAAGACTTCTGTAAAATAATCTGACTGTTTTTCTGCACACAGATGGTTCTGGTCGAGCATCACGTTCATATTCAGAAACGGCACTTGGAAGGAACACATAGTCGAGCAGTCGATCTCGTGTATTTTCAGCCAATAAAGTCAACAATTCTTGCTAGTTTTTATGAAGTTACGACAGAAGTTTCCGTTCATGGATCTTGCTAGGAGATTTCAAATTGGTAAAACTACAGTGTCAAGATACAGTAGTTCTATACTTTGAATGTATTCGATACTATCAATGCTATTGCTGTTTTATAAATGTTTCAGGTTGCTTGATCGATAGGTCAACTTT